AATTTAAAGAAACTCATCATTTCCCAATATAATTCGAAGTGTCGAAAGGGGGTGCCTCTTTATTTAATTTTCAAGAATAAACGGATATTTGACATTATCTCTCGATACGTATAAACTAGAAGGCCGTCACCCAATTATAATTTGGAAATGTAAAGCGTGTGGTATTTTTGATTCTCTATTAATATTTTCTCACAAAATTAGACTAATCGATAGTTTTTTTTTTTAATTAGAGTTGCCTGTTTTTATATTTTTGATCCTTGCTTTTATGCGATTCACGTTTAAAGAATATTTTCATCCAAATCGGTTTTCATCAGTTTAAACGGAAAGAAAATTAGATCATAAAAAAATAAAATTGAGAAACCGAAAAAAATTTTAGAAGTTCATCTGTCTCTGTGAATCTAATAGAGCTGCTTTTTCACGATCTACCTTTTTATTTATTTATTTATTTAATTTTTTTTTAATGGTATTGTGCTCTCTAACAATTTTGCATCATCAAAAGTTTCTTAATTACAAAAAAAATATCAAGAAAATACCAATTAAAAAGTTTAACCGAAAATCCAAAATGGTAATGAAATAGTTGTGTCACCTTACAAACCCCTCTTGTTCGGAAAAAAATCAGCATTAGGAAATATAATTTCGAAAATATGTGTTTAAAAACTATTTTATAAATGTATAATTTAATTTAATTTAATTTAGTTATTTAAATTCATATAAAAAAATTTATTTTTTCATTTTATTTGAAAACATAATTTCATTAATTTTACAATTTATTAAATTTTATTTAAATGCATATTTTAAAAAAATTTAAATTTTACTTGAATACATAATTTTATGAATTTTTATAATTTATTAAATTTTATTTGAATACATAGGAAAAATACGTATTTAAATGAAACTAAAAATATGCAAAATAGTAATTGAAAGCTTTTTAGTACTGAAACTAAACTTATAATGGAAAAGAAACTTTATGTTTGTCTGTACTGGCATAAGCTTGAAAGATTTATAAAAACTAGATAGATAATACGAATAATTTTATTATTACTCTATGTAAACTAATATATTCATTCCTTAAAATAATTTGGGAGTTGAATTTGCGGCATTATAGTTAGTTCCCTTTATGTTTATCCGAACTTTCTATGGAAATATTTTATATTTGTTAACTTTCTTAAAAATGATGCATGTGCTGTAAGAATCAAAAATCGAAGAAAAAGCCTTTAAATTCATTTGAGTTTGTTTTACTGAAAGAGGCTCACTATTACACAAAGCCGGTATTGAATGAATATAAATAATAAAAGCATACTTATCAAGGGAAAAAAAACAATAAGTAATCCGAGATGGAGTTTATAATCCAAATGCAAAGTAATCCACAGTTGTTGATATAATCCAAGTGTTGTTGCTTTACTTACCGAAAACTTCATCTTTGATAATTGATTGTTGCGTTGTGTTCTGGTTGTGAAAGTGTCTTTTTCACTTTATATACCCGACGATGGAGAAGTCACGTGCCAAACCACCCCCATCCCTCCACACCTGATTGGATAAATTGTTTCAGAAAAATGTCATTTTATTTTTCGGATTAAATTTAGGCACTTTCTTCAAAAAGTTTTAATTTTTTTCTCTTCCTTTTAAGTAGTTGTGGTGTGGGGCGACAGCGCTCACTGGCGCACCAAAGAACGGCCCCGTTATACTTCACTTCACTTCTCTCTCTCTTTAGAGCAAACGAGAGTTTCCCCGTTGTGTTGTTGAACGGAAGGTTAGATAATATCTCGTAATTAAAAAGCATTAAAACGCACCTTCTCTCATATTGAAATTTAGTATTTTTAGATTATGTCTATTTCCCCCTTCTTTCAATGCTTTCAAATAAACATTTTTTTTATAAAAATAGATCTGATTCCAATAAGGCATAATAATTTTTCAAAGTCGGGGGCTAGCAGTCCCTTTAAAGGAAACCCACAAGAAATTTTTAGGAAGGGATAACTTTTGTAGTCTGTAGAATAGACTTTTGGGAATATTTTTGATTGTTTGAAGGGTATTTTTTGACATCTTGAGGGGCATTTTTAAAACAAAATTTGGTGGGAGATTCACAAAGAAAGAGATTCATTTAAAAATAAAATTTATGCAATTTTTGGTATAGCATAGTCATGAAAACTACATACTTGTATACGTCCCATTAAATATGTATATATATATATATAATAA